GGCTAGACCAGAGGATGTACACTGGTACAGATAGGAACTGGAAACACAGGGAATCCAGGACGGATGAGCCCTTCAGGGCCAGTGGTGAGTGGCGATACTGGGAGGGTAGAGGGAGAGTGGGTTGGAAAGAGGAGACGGATGACAAGGATCTACATGTGACCTCCTCCTTGGAAAAGTGGATGAAGGGAGTTGTTGGACAGGGCAAGAAATGACAAAATAATAATTTATAAATTATCAAAGGCTCATGAAGGAGAGGGGAGCGGGGAGGGAGGGGAAATTTGAGGACCTGATGCCAGGGAATTAAGTGGAGAGCACATGTTTTGAGAATGATGAGGGAAATGACTGTACAAATGTGCTTTACACAACTGATGTATGCATCGATTGTGATAATTTGTATGAGCCCCTAATAAAACGATTAAAAATGATTTTAAAAAAGTGCGAATTTGCCTCTTCCCTTCCTCGGTCCCCTTCTGGGGCTGCCCATCCCCCACCTCAGGCCCAACCCTTGCCGGCACTCACACAGTCAGGACTTTGTCGTTCACACTCTGCTCCAGGTGGGCCGGCCCTTGCCGATGGATGTTTAACAACAGGTACTCTCTGGCGATCTCGGCCTCCACGGAAGTCGGGAAAGGCACGTTGAAGGTGCTGGAGGAGAGACGGTCAAGGGACCACTAATACAGGTCTTGTCGGCTCCCCTGCCCCTCCGCAGCCCACCCACCCTCGAATTGCCTCTTGGGGACCTCCCCCTCTTCAGACCACCGCTCAACGGCACTTGGTATCCCTTCCAGTCCCTCCCTGAGCCCCTCTGGTAGGATACAACTGGAACATTCGCCTGCTTGATGATCTGTTGGCAGGCATGGTGGCACCACCAGGGGCGGCAGCATTTGCGGCCTGTTCGTTTTGAGGTGCACTGCCCGCGGTGGTGGCAGTGGTAGCGGTCTCCTGGGGCGCATCCTCTGGAGCCTGGGACGCGCCCTGGCCATTGGTCTGGCCCTCCGCCTCTCCTGTGGAACCCACGTCATTGGTGTTTTTCATGGCTCCGGCTTTTCCGCTCAACTTTTGCGCCCGGCTCCACCCCCTCAGCACCACTGCGCCTGCGCCAACAGAACCCTCTGTGGAGATTGTGCACACGCAACACGTTCCTACAACCAATGGGATAGGACGCTGGAGACCCTGTAGGTTCTCAGAGCGAACCTTTCCTACCGAAGCTCCGCCCCTTATTGTCATGAACGTCCTCAGTGCGCCTACGCAAACGGATGCTCTTTAGGGCGGGAGTATTTGAATGTTTCCCGCCAGGCCTTCAGAGCCAGACCCGGAGGGAGGATCACGCAGTTTGAGTAGGCTCCAGAAGCTCCGCCCATGAGTGTTTCTGGGACCTCAGTGCGCCTGCGCAAACAGACCCTTCCTGAGAACTAGGCCACATAACTGTGGCCTACGAAGCCCTCCAGGCTGCTGGACGCTGGAGGACTGTTTCCAGGACAGCCTGGCCTGGGCTGGGGATCAGGTACCTCTGAGCCATGTCCTCTTACCCCTCTGGGGTCCCACACCTTGACAAAGGTGGAGGGGTGGAGGAGGATGGGCGTCACTGCACGGGACATTATTACTGGGTGAAAAAAACAAACAACCACGTCAGACTTAGCTGTCAAGACATGCCATTTCCCAGAGCAGCTCCCCCTTCTGCCCCAGCTGCTCCCCTATGGGGAGGGGGGTAGTGTGCAGCACAAGAGGCAGCGGGGAAAGACCTTCCCCTGGTTCAAGATGATTCCTGCAGTGTAAACAAACCTGTCACAAGGAAGGACACTGCTCAGATTCCTACAAAGTTCACTGCCATCCAATGTATCCCGACTCCTAGCGACCCTATAGGACAGAGTAGAACTGACCCTGTGGGTTTCCGAGACTGTAACTCTTTGCTGGAGTAGGAAGCCTCATGTTTCTCCTGAGGAGCGGCTGGTGGATTTGAACTGCTGAACTTAGCCACTCGGACTGCCTGCTCAGAGACTCCAGGTCTCCAATTCAGGTGGCAGAGATAACCCAGGTCTTGGGCTCCCTTGCAGTTAGGCAAGCATAGGTGAGTTCTTGCCAGCAAGTTGTAACTCAGAGTCATGTGTGGCACTTCATAGCTGGCAGGTAGGAATTCCCTGTGTCCTCCTCCATCTTCTTCTCTGGGTCTGTAATTGGAATGAAGGTGGCTGCAGGAGTCCCAGCAGAGCTGGCAAAAAGGCTCAGTGGCCACTTCCCTCGATAGCTTTGTGAGGAGGATTGATTATGGATATGAAGACTTCGTGTGATTCCTGTTCAAGGGATGTTAGTTTTGGTTGCTGTCGTTCAGTCTTGGAGTGGTCCTAAATCAGTGGGGGTGGAAGGCAGCTCAAGATGCTCACATCGTTCAGCAGACAGTGCAGTTAAGGGCTGGCCTTTTAGAGGTTGGAGTCTTCCATGAGTCCAGGCAGAAAATGGGTTCTCTTGTGGGTCTTTCCTCTGCTGGTGAACCAAGGTAAGGCTAAAACACCTTGCAGAATATTTAAACTACAGATTTGGATTTGTCAACCGAACAAGTTGCAGTTTCAACCAAAACTGATGCTCATGGAAGAAGCTTACAATTTAAAAGGGGATAATTCGAATGTGCGCTGGAACAGCCAGCTTCTACCCTCACTGTTCTGTGAGAATGCTCTGTAAGAGTCCCATCTAATGCTCACAACTTACTCTTGACATCTCGAAGCTCCTTATCCCCTCCTGCCCACAACTAGGAAAGTGGGTCAGAAAGCTTGAGTTGCCTCCTTCGGTAGAATTGCCCAGAAAACCTTCTGGTTCTGGATCTTTTGATGTTGAGAGTTTTCAAATGACCAGAGCTATTTCTACTTGTTTTATAAAAGGCCTGTTCAGATTTTCACATCAGTCTATGCTTAAGCAGGTAATGTGTTTATGGAAATTAATCCATTTCTTTTAAATTCTAAAATTTATTGGAATACAAAGTTTTGTTATATTGTGCATTTATTCTTTATTTCTAAGTTCTGCTGTGATGTCATGCATTTCATTTCTTTTTCATAATTGCTTTTTTCTCTTTATTTCCTTTATTAGGTGCCCGTGGTTTATCATTTTTGTTAATCATCTCAAAGAACCCCCAGGTTGTCATGATGATTTTTTTCTAGAGTTCTTTTTTTCTGCTCTACTATGTTTTATTTCTTTTCTACTAGCGTCTGATATCAAACTAATAGTAGTTGTGTTACTCGGGGTAGACTAGAGAAACAAATTCATAGACACTCATGTGTATAAGAAAGAGCTTTATATACAAGAGAAATTGAATATTGAGAAAACATTCCAGCCCAGTCCAAAGCAAGTCCATAAGTCTGATATTAACCCACATGTCCAATACAAATTTATAAATTCCTCTTCAGACTCACGCAACATATGCAATGAGCAGAGTGCAGGAAGATCACAGGCCAGCAGGTGGAAAATTTTGTAGATCCAGTGGTGGTGGAAACATCTCAATGCTGCAGGGGTCTCCATGTGGCTCCTCCAACTCCAAGTCTCTAGCACAGCTACATGTGTCTTCTCAGCTGGAATGTCTCGCAGAGTCAGTCTGTGGCCCACCTCCAGCGAGCAATTTATCTCCATAGCGCCTCCAAATGAGGTTATCAAGCTGAGACCTGATTGACTGACAGGCTTAACTCAGCCCTTTCACTCATAAGTCTCAAATTCACCACAGAGTATGTAACTACCACAGTTTCTGTTCACTTTAATTAGACATTTATATGTTAATTTTAGGTTGCTGTCTGTTGTTGGCTTGCTATCCAAAAACTTCTTTTCATATTTTTGTCAGGATGATGTTATTTTTTCAGATTCCTTTAAGTTTTTTCCTTTCCTGAAAATGATTATATTTCTCACTTGTATATGAGAGATACTTTAGCTGGACATAAAATTCTTGGTTGGCAGTTTTTATCCTGAAAAATGGAATATATTAATCCATTGCCTGCATTGTTTTGATAGAAAAATCTGAACTTTTCCTAATTTTGTTGGCCTTTTTAATCCATTTTTCAATCCTGATGTTTTGTTCTTTCAAAGCACTATCTTGTTCTAATATTTTATTATTTTCCCGTTTGAATTTATATGAGGAGTAGTTCAATTGTTCCTAGTTTTCCATGTGGTTAGTGGGTTTGGTCTTGTCGTGCTTTTCTGAATTCCTCTCTCCTCTCTCATGTGTTTCTCATTTCTATCCAGTGTTCCTTCCAATTGCTTAAGGGAGTTGAAGAGAATTGCCCCAAATTCCCTCATGGGAGGATCTAAAGCAGCGGTTCTGAACCTGTGTGTCGTGACCTCTTTGAGGGTCAAACGACCCATTCACAGAGTCACCCAATTCAGAACAGTAGCAAACCTACAGTTATGAAGTGGCAACAAAAATAATGTTATGGTTGTGGGGTCACCACAACATGAGGAACTGTATTAAAGGGTTGTGGCATTAGGAAGATTGAGAACTACTGATCTAAATCTTTTTCTACCTCCAAGACCTCCCCTGGGTCCATGTCATTATTTATTCCTGTCAAATGAGTTGTTTTCTCCTGTATGTCCAGATACATATGAAAGTTGACTGCTGCTTCTGAAATATTGCACAATTAAAAAATATTATTTAAGCTTTGGTCTTAAGGAATGTCCACACATGTACAGTATTGTAGTTTTCAGAGAGGAAAGTATTACAAAGCACTCTGGGTCTAACCTGCTCCAAGTCAGTGTCCAAAGCAGGAACTATAGCCCCTGAGGAAATCCTGCTTTCAGTGCTGGGTCCCAAGTGCCCAAAGAGTACTAGACAATGATCAACACATCCAACATGAAGAGAGAGAGAAGATAATGTCTTACACACTGTCTGCACAGCCGCTGAGTGGCACTCACTGACTGTCAGTCTGAGCAGGACCCAGATTCAACAGACTACATGTGTTAAGAAATTGAATTCTGGGTTCGAAGAGAGAAGGTCAAGCTCTCCCATATTCATCTTCCCCCTGATATTTTGCCAGCTAAATCTGAACACCTCAGGATTGTTGAGGGCCTTCCTATTTCTCGCTGCCCCTCCACTTTACCAAACTTGACATCTTTCTTCAGGGACTGGTGTCTCCTGGCACATGTCCAATGCGTGTGGGATGAAGGTTCTCCATCCTTGACTCTAAGAAGCCCTCTGGCCAGACTTCTCCCTTGACAGATGCTTTTGTCCTTTTTAGCACTACTACATGGTACTTTCAGTATCCTTCTCCTGAATCACAATTCAAATATCTGTATTCTTCTTTCCAACCTTGGCCTTAGTCCCACCCTCTGTTCCTCAGGAAAGTGGTGACACCATCCTGTGACCAGAAGAGTCTGGGTTTGCCCTCATGCCTGGAGGCAAGAGCTTGACTTATGGGTACAGGGAAGCAATTGCCTGCTCTGAAACATAGGGATCAATGGTCTCTGTGACAGGGACCAATAAAGCATTCACATGGTAACTGTGAATGGCTTGGAACCGCCCTGTGGTGCTGGGGAGGTAGAAACTCTGCCCCTGAGTCTAGGAAGGTAATAGCCCTGTTTCTGGGTCTTAGAAGATGGTAGCTTCATCCTCTGGATCCCATGAGTGTCTGAGCTCTGCCCTGTAGTCCAGCAAGTCATTACTCAGCCTTTGGGGCTCTGTGAAGCATTGGGTCTGCCTTCCAGAACCCACTAAGCAATGGTCCATCTGCTGGTACCTGGGTGGCTGTGGTCTAGCACTCTGCAAGCAATGTGGCCTTCTCCCAGCTATTTGGCAATCCAAAGGACTTGGGCTCCTCCTCTGGTAATCAGATAGGGGTTTCCCCCATACCCTGGAACCCTAGGGCATATATTCTCAAACTCTGAGTATCAGATGGGCTGGACCCTGCTCTCTGGTTCCCAGGGAGGCAGTGACTTTGCCATTTACAGCTCAGCTCTGAAACAAGGATGTGGTTATTCCACAAGCCATAAACCCACAGT